TGGGACCGGATTCAAGCCACTGCAGACCCCGTACATGATTCTTTTATGCTGGGTTTCCCCAAGGGTGGATAGGATGAGGACTCCACAGGCCATTGACAGCCCAGCTCCCATGAAAGATACATTGAGTCTGCGCAGCATCAATACAAAAGACTGACTGGTATGCCTCTGTTGATCGCCAATCTTAACGGAATCATCTCCCACTTTGCCTTGAAGATTGTTTACTCATTTCACATGGCCAAGGCTCCGCCGACCACATGTACAGGTAACTACTCATCTTGCATGGGGATTCCTTGCATCCACCAAGTCCACAACACCAAACGCAAGGCGGAAAAGTTCACCGCAAATGATTTCCATGCTCAGGGGCATGTCAAGAGTGATCTAGCTGTAAGTTCCTTATTTGTTTATCATCAAGACGATCCAAACAATATTTGCACAAGGTATCTGATTTATTTGGTTCATTCATCTGATCAATTGACAGGTGCAACTTAGTGAAAACCCAGATACCACGGAGGCCCCACAGAAGAACCATGAAGATGCTTTCCTCAGCGACGTCTTTCAAAAGTTCCAATCCCTTCAACCTGGCGAACAACACTTCATGCTTGGGGAAATTCATAAACTGATTGATGGAACACATGCGACCATTCCACTTGAGGAACCCAAGTTTGATAAGAACCATCGATTCAAGAGCCAACCCAAAGGCTCCAAACGGAAACACAAATCAAAGTCTTCAACCAAGAGGGACCCATCTGTATTTCAGTACGTCGAGGGGCAGAATAAGAAACAAGGCAGGCCAAAGAAGGCGGCCAAATTGGACGAGGGGCCCAAGCGCAAACCTGGGCAACCAAGGAAGAAACAGGCCGAAAAGGATGACACAGATGAGTCAGAGGTGTGCATTGCTTATATCCATCTGAAGATTTTTTCTGCTTCTGATTCATTTTTGAGTAGGCCATGGAAACAGACAAAGAGAGTGAGGATGATGCTTCAGATGGAATTGGAGCCCTATGTGAAAATATATTCACCAAGGAGGAGCATTCGAAAGAAGAACCTACGCTGTGTGTATCATGGAGAATTCTGCAAAGCTGCATGGCCAAAAACCAAATTTGTTGAATCTCCTTGCAAATAAAAGCAGATTGGTCAGATAGTTTTTTTTATTGGGGCTCAGATACACAGTGAGACATGGCAGATACGGGCAGATACTGTATCTGTGGCAGCGTTGGAAGAACCCAATCCCCCAACTGTCAAGAAGCCCTTGCAAATTAGGCCAATCAAAGCGGTCAACCAACAACCAGAAGTTCAGAACCCATCACTGAAGTGGACAAACCTGAAAAAACTCCTTTGAGCAAGGCGCTGACTTGGAGTACATACGAGAATGTGGAGATTGACCTTTTGAGTAACTCATCTACTTACTTCTTTTTCAGATTCTTCATCCCCTCTGTTTCCCTCTTAAACTTTTGTTAGTATAAGCACAAAGACAGCATCAAGCCCGCTGGAGCAATCCCACACATCTTACACATTCACGACGTCAAAGGCAATGGAAATTGTGGATTCCGAGCAGTTGCGGTGTAAGAATCAAAAAGTGGTTGTAAGACCCTTTTTGCTGAATGGAGAAGGGGATGGTAGAGCTAGAGATGGTCGATTCGCATCCGGATATCCGCGCGGATGCGGATATCCGCTCGCTTTTTCAGCGAAATCAGGCATCCGCATCCGCTGGCGGATACCCGCTGGGCCTGGCGGGTATCTGCGCGGATACCCGCGGATATCCACACTAAAAATGACCCCTAGGCTGCAAAAGGAAAGGTTCTTGGGGAAATTTCAGATGCAGAAAGCCGCATAAACTCTAATTTTGAAGTCCTGGCGGCCTGCAAGCCTTCATTTTTTTATTTTTTATTTTTTATTTGTTTTTATTTATTTATTTTTTTAAAAAAAATCCTTTTCTGCTTGCTTTTTATTGAGCAGTTGGCACAAGTCAAAATTCATTTTTTATTTTATTTTTTTTGGTTTGTTCTTTTATTTTTTTCTTTTCTTTTCTTTTCTTTTCTTTTCTTTTCTTTTCTTTTCTTTTCTTTTCTTTTCTTTTCTTTTCTTTTCTTTTATTTTATTTTATTTTATTTTATTTTATTTTATTTTATTTTATTTTATTTTATTTTATTTTATTTTATTTTATTTTATTTTATTTTATTTTTCTTTACTTTTATTTTAGGGCGTTAATAAAAAATGTTTTTACCTTATTTTTCATGTTTTTTTGGAATTTTAAAATTATTTACTAGGTTTCAATACGTGTGAAATTTATTGGTAACATCCAATTTTCATAAAAATGAATGGTTGTTCCTTAATAATTCAATTACACCCATTTTTTCACTTAAACTTTTAGAGCTTAATTTTCATTCTTCTTGGACATTTTAAATTTTTTTCCTACACTTCAAGACATGGTTAAAATGATGGTAACAACCATTTTTCATCAAAATGCAAACTACATCTTGAATGCTGCATTTGACGTGTTTTTTTAATTAATTCTTTACTTTTTCACTCAATTGTTTGCATACATGTGTGTACCTTATTTTTTATGCTTTTTTGAAATTTTAAATTTGTTTCCTACATTTAAAATTGTGTATAATTCAATGGTAACATTCAATTTCCATAAAACTCACTGGTTCATCCTGAATACTGTAATTGGTCATATTTTTCAATTGATTTCTAAGAGCTTGATTTTCATTATTTTTTGACTTTTTAAATTTGTTTCCTACACTTTCAGACATGTTAAAAATGATGGTAAAAATCAATTTGCATCAAAATAAAAATTGTATCTAAAATAATGCCTTTGGCGTGTTTTTTTTAATTAATTCTTACATGCTTAATTATCCTTATTTTTTGGAACTTTAAGTTCATTTCCTACATTTTGAAAGATTATCAAATTGATGGCTTTATTCATTTTGAATTCAAATTAAATTTGTATACGGTACAAATTATGCAACAAACGGGGTACACTCATTTATTAAGATTGAAGATTCTATTTCTAGGAAAATTGGACTTCACCATTAAATTCTACACATTTTTAAATGCAGGAAATAAATTTGAAATTTCAAAAAATGATCAAAATTAAGCCAGTAAAAATCATTCAAAAAAACATAAAAAAAACGTGTCCAACACAGTATTCAACAACAATCTTTGATTTTCATGTAAAGTAGTTGCTACCATCATTTTTTACATGTCTTGAAGTGTGGGAAATAAATTTAAAATTTCAAAAAAGAATGAAAATTAAGCTGTAGAAATTTAAGTGAAAAATGTGTCTGATTGCAGTATTAAAAATGAACCATTGATTTTTATGTAATTTGGATTACACCATTAAATTCTACTCACATTGAAACCTAGGAAATAAATTCAAAATTTCAAAAAAACATTAAAAATAAGTTAAAAACATCAATGCAAACATTTAATTGAAAAAATGAGTGAAAAAAAAATTAATAATCAAAATTCATTTTTATGAAAAATGGTTTTTACCATTAAATTCTAAGCACTTTAAAACCTAGGAAACAATTTTAAAATTTCGAAAAAACTCGAAAAATAAGTGGGAAAAAATTAAATTAAAAACCGCGTGCAAACGCGGAATCCGCGTGTGCTGCGCGCAGCAGAAACCGCGTGTAAACGCGGATTTACCGCGTTTTTTTATTAACGCCCTTATTTTATTTTAATTTTTTTTCTTTTTATTTATTTATTTATTTTTAGGGGATTAATAAACGTACCCCCCTTTTCTGCTAACCACACCTGGTTTTTCACACCTGGTTTTCTGCTTCTACACCCGGTTTTTCCCAGCCTTTGCAATTCATTTTTTGGAAAAAATGATTATTCTAAAAATCTTCTAAAATTGATCATTCTTTTTGGGTATATAACACTACAAGCAATACCCATTTTGCCCCCAAAATAAATGGCAATTTGGGTGGGGGAAAATGGATCAATTTTCTGGAAATTTTTTCCAAAATGCCTCAGGAGTAGAAATTAGGCTAAACTGTGCTATTTTAGCCCAGAGATAGAAATTCATCAAACATTCCAAAATGAATTTTTAGCTCATTTGAGACATTTTTATTTTTTGGCTAAAATAGCTCATTTTAGCCTAACTTTTTACTCCTGAGGCATCTTGTAAAAAAAGTGCGGGAAAATTCATCTATTTTCCACCATCCAAGTTGCCATTTTTCCTTGGGGCAAAATCAGTATTGTTTATAGTGTAAAAAATCCTCAAGAGAACTTCAATTTTTTTATTTTTCTCACCCATTTTTTCCCAATTTTTTTTGACCCTATGAACTCTTGAAAACTTGAATTAAAGCCAAAAATTATTATTAATTTTCAAGTTTTTAATCTTTCTTCTCCATACAGATGGTCCCATTCAAGATATTCCTTATTTTGTCCATTTGGTTATAGCTCAAAACCAACAACATTGGGGTTTCCAAAATGAAATCAAATTTGTTCCTTTATAGATTTCCCAAATATTGGGCAATATCAATGATAAATTTAAATGTACTTTGAATCCTCAAAAACTCATAGGCAGAAAAAAAAACTTGATGAATCAGATAAATTAAAATTTCTCTTTTGAGGATTTTTTATATACCCAAAAAGAATGATCAATTTTAGAAGATTTTTAGCATATTCAGAATTGCCAAAAAATGAATTAAAAAGGCTGGGGCCGGAAAACCGGGTGTAGAAGCAGAAAACCAGGTGTGAAAAACCGGGTGTGGATAGCAGAAAAGGGGGGTACGTTTATTAATCCCCTATTTTTATTTATTTTTTTTTGCTTTTTCTTTTGGTTTTTCAGATTTTTTTTGGTTTTTTTTTGGTTTTTATTTTATTTTCTTTTTTCGTTTTTCGTTTTTCTTTTTTCTTTTTTCTTTTTTCTTTTTTCTTTTTTCTTTTTTCTTTTTTCTTTTTTCTTTTTTCTTTTTTCTTTTTTCTTTTTTCTTTTTTCTTTTTTCTTTTTTCTTTTTTCTTTTTTCTTTTTTCTTTTTTCTTTTTTCTTTTTTCTTTTTTCTTTTTTCTTTTTTCTTTGTTCTTTTTTTTTTCTTTTTTCCTTTTTTTTTCTTGTGTTGCTCACAGCCTGTGACCCTCCCCAAAATAATAAGTATGAAAAAAAACAGAATCAAATTTCTTTTTCCCAGGCAATTTTTTTGTTGTTGCAGCAAACTCATGTATGACATTTGTGGACAATGGACATGACCCAGTGAGAGTGAAATAGAGATAGAAGATAATGAAAAAAAAACATCAATCAATTGGGACTACAACAGCAACGCTTTGACTCCCACCCGCGCTTTGACTCCCACCAGTCCTCTTCGCCTTAGTCCTAGCTTCATTCTTCTTTTTTTCCATGTATTCGTGGAGCGCCAGGGGTTTTATCTTGTTGTTCTGTGAATAAAAGGCCAATGCCATGCCTCTACTTACGGATTTTGGGTGGAGATTGTGTCGCCTAGTGGTGACATAGTCTCTGCCAAAGCTGAAAGTCCGCTCTACATCAACCGTTGTTGCTATACAAAAAGTTAAATGTCAGAAAAAATGATCAGCAAGAGATAACTAAATTACTGAGATCTGGATTGCTTACCTGGACAACACAGGACATCAAGGGCCATCTGTGCCAGGCCGTGATGTGGATTTCCACTCCGTTTCTGCTCCGCCCACCACTTGAGGGCATCAATTGGTTGCCGATCTTCCAAATACAGGGGACCAGTGAGCCATCGGTTGATGGGGTCACTTGAGGGGGCCGCAATTCGAGCGTCAGCAGCATCACCAAGACCTGCCAGAACACCAGTTTGCGGCTGGTGGAGGATTTGATCAGTTGATTTAAATTGGAGGGGGAGAATTTAAATGAAATTTACCCTTGCTTGTCCCTTTCCAGCTGATCTTGGTGCTGATTCCGTGTTTTGAGGTTTGTACCACTTATTGTACATCTCACGAGTGAGCTTGACTGCCTCATCGATCCATTCCTTAGGCCATTTGGCCAACTTAAAGTATTCGTCCTTGAATGAGGGATGGAGAACTGAAAATCCAGAGATAATAATTGTTAGTTGTTGCCAGGAATGTCAGACGGTGAAAGATGAAGAAATTTAAAAGGACCTACCCATGGCAATTTGGTATAAAGGTGAGCAGTCAGTGAGTGAGTAGTACTTGTTTGTAATGCGTAGCCCCGCGCAACAAGCATTTCGTAAAGCTGGAGGGTGATCTCGGTCGGGAACCTGATTTGCAATCACAGCACCAAGGTTGGACGTGATTTGATCAATCATGACGACGATGTCGGCGAGCCGGGCTGAGGCACTGGTTGATAATTGAAGCGTGATTTTGTAAAAGGGTAGCAGAATTTGA